AAATATCGTAAATCGTGCGGGAACCTTTATACGCGATGAAGGGAGTATTTATATATTATAATCTGTGTGAAATTAGTTTGTATTCATTATTATTAAAAATAATAAAATTCCTTCCAAATTGTTGTAAAATATATCTTCTCGACATATCATACATTTCAGTGGGTATATTATAAAGAATTAAAAGTATACAAAAAACTATTTTATCTTGTATATCATACAATAATATTTTTGCCCCTTTTATTTATAGAAGATCTATTGTACAAATCAAGAAGATATAATGTACAATAATTTGAAAGGAATTTTATTATTTTTTAATAATAAATTTTTACAAGTAATTATAAATAGGTTATAAACAGAAGATAATTCAAATATATACATATTCGGAAATTAAATATATTAAAAGTTTTATTGGGACTAGAATAAGCCCTTATATAGGAGGCTCTTTCCGGCCGTCGCCATTTGGGGCAGTTCCCGGTGGAATTAAGCATTCAAACTAAACTTAATGAATAATATGCTCAAACAATTTCATCAAAAAATTCCACCGAGAACTGCCCAAATGGCGGCGGCCGGAAAAAGCCTCATATATAAGGGCTTATTTGACCTTTTTATATAAGTTGGAGGGCCGATTTGACCCTTTTTCCATATATAAATTATACGTAGTATAAAATAATATTTCAGACAAGACTAGATTAAGATTTTTTTATTTGGACTAAAATTTTCTGATTTGGTCTAGTCTTATCCTATAGATGTCCGGTCACTATGCATTTTATTATATCGTCGATGTTTGATCAAGTCCGATATGTTCAGGTTTGGAACTGAAATAAATTCAAGTAAAAACTTCTAAAACATATGAGATCAGATTAAAACCGATCATATCAAATTACACCAGACCAAAAAAATTCAATCCAAAAAAACATCTTGACTCTATAGTTCGACATTTAGTTTGTTAATTTGTCACATGTTTATTAAGACATTTGCTCACAAAAAAATCATAGGCTTGGATGTGCTTTAGTTACAAAAATTCATAGGTTTATAAGCTTGGTTGCCCTTTAGGCCTCGATTGGTTTGAGGATTTTGGGAGGAAGGGAAGGATAATAGAGGATCAATGATTGTTTGGTTGGAAGGATTTTGGGAGAAAGGAAAGGAATCTGGAGGACTTTAAAAAACCCCACTATCCCCCATTTTGAGTCCTCTGAATTGGGGTATTGCAGGGCAAATTATATTATACACTTTTATTATATATTATAGAATAAATCAACTTGACAGAAATGAGTCCAATGTTTTCTTATTTTTTTTGTTTTTAAATGATGCGGCAAACTGATTTTCTCATCCATGTTTTTCTTGATTCTTCTTCTGCCGTCATCCTCATTCCCTCACTCCCCGTTGCTTTTATTTATTTCAGCCATCATTCTTTTTCATTTTTAGCCTCCATCCCAAGTCATCCTACTTCATTTTATATTTGTTTTGTCTTTTTTATTTTATTTTTTCGTTATTTTTTTTCTCTTCTTTCTTTTTTCTTTTCGTTTCTTTTATTTTACTTTTTTGTTACTTTTACTTTAGTTAGTTTACTTTTTTGTCTTTTTTCTTTTTTTCTTTATTTTAAACTCAAATAATTATAGCGTCTAAGAAGAATAAATATATACAAATGAACATTTCAATTTTTGAAAACTCATTTTGTAAGTTATGTATGTCCATTTAGTACCTTTGTTATGCTCATTTTAAAATGTTTATCCATGCATATTTCAAAAATCTCATATTACATTAGATTCGCATAGAATTTGATTATAGACACGAGACCACAAATCACGATACTCAATTTCATGATTCTAGTACCCAATAACGGAGGTTCGATGCTCACTGCAAATATTTTGATGTTCAACAAACAAAACATACCATTTTCATACCAATGATCATCTTGTAAGTTACGAATGCTCATTTGTATAGAGGTCTGATGCTCATTAAAAATTCATTAATGTTCATTGATCTCAATAGAGAAGGTTTGATCGTCAACAGAATAGGTTTGGTGCTCATTAAAAGTTCATTATTACTCATTCTCCAGAAGTCGTGATTTTCATCTCAATAGTGGAGGTTTGATGCTCAATTAAAATGTCATGATGTTCACCTAACAAACCTAACAATTTTCATATTAATGTGCACTTTGTAAGTTATGTATGCTCATTTGGTACTCATTGTTATGCTCATTTTTTACATTGTCATATCAATGTATATTTCAAAAGTATCATCTTACATTAGACTCACATATTGAAATTAATAAGAGTGAATTATAGATATAATTTAATAAGTTTTTATAAAAGAAAAAATAAGAAAAAGAAAAAGAATTAGAAGATATGAAGCAAAGATCGTGATACTCATTATTAGCCTCCTAATACTCAATAAAATAGGTCAGATGCTCACTAAAAGTACATTATTGTTCATTTAGCGTTAGCCATGATTTTTTGCTTAATTTACAAAAATGCCACCGAAAAAAATTAGACTGTATCAATTAAATGGACCGCCATTCTTAATTAATTGGGCCTTCATCAAATTCATTAAACTTTATTAAAATTGGGCTGAAGCTTCGATTAAATTACAAATAGACCCGGATGTACGGTTCTCACGCATACACCAGGGTGTAGGATATACGAACCGGTATTTCAGGGGTTAATAAAGGCACGCTGTGATTTTTAAATGTAAATGGACAAAAATAACCCTGTATTTGTAACTCTAATTCCTTCGACCTTCCTTTGCGTCATTCAGGAGTAGCCGCAAGCCTGCAATCCTCTCTCAAACATGGATCAAATTAATCAGCTCGCAGCATAATCGACAATCGTTGAGCAGAAAGGAGGTGATTTCGCTCATCTGCGAGTTCGTTGCTTTATCTGTTTAGGTTTCAGGTTCATTGCATATCAATGTTTGTGTGATTCTGGGATTTTGATTTCCTAGTTAAAAAGCTCTTAGTTGAGATACCTAGATTGCTTGCCTCCTTGAGTGATTTTGATATGATTTTTATGAGGTTCTCTTCATATATTTACCCTATTCATATTTCCGAGCTGGAAGCATTGATTATTTTTAGTTTACTTGGAGTTTTTTCCGATCTTCTTGATGATTTCAGAAATTATGTACTGTTCTTTCGCAAATTTTCCGCCTGCTCTATCGGGTTTTGTTGAGTTTGAGTGCTGATTTGTGCCATTTCTGAGCTTTGTCAATAAATTTTGATTTTTTAATCTCACTTTTCATATGATTTATATTCAGATATGAGTATGCATATTGGTATTATGTAAGAATTACAGTTAGTTCCATTATATTTGAAATCAAACATCAAACATTTCAGTGTAAACATATTACACTTCGTATGATTCTGAGAAAGCTTGGTTTTGGTTAAGGATGGTGGGATTTGATGTCTCCTTAGATAGTTAAATCTTCTGCTAATTATTAATATAGCTCCAAATAAGTTAATTCCTACATTAGCTATGACACCCAGGTTTGATGTCTAATAATTTTAAAATCTTAGAAATGAGAATGAAACCATCGAGTTATTTATGTTCTCTCCAAGAAAGAAATCCGAGATTTTTTCTCTCAACCTCTGTCATATGTTGGGCAGTTCTCTTTATAGTTGAAGATATGTGTTCTGACTTAACACATTTTTTCAAAATGCTATCACCCTTCAAAAATATATCTCAAATACAACATTGATATTCTAAAACTAAAGAAGCCAAGAAAGTGGTTATTTTGAAAAATATTTTAACTGACTATTTTTGATATTACTGTGTATATTTATGGTATAGATGGATCACAAAAAACCCGTAGGATGGTGTAACATGGTGCAAAACATGGTAGCTCACATTCTTTGCCTTGTTGTTCAATGGCACTTCATTCAAATGTGTTATGCTAAATGGTGATTCTCTATGGAAAAGATAGAGCTACTGGAGATCAAATCAATAACTGCTTCGGAGCTTCGAAAGCGTCCTAGTTCAATTGGTACAGATGACTACAATGACTCTACCACCGATTCACATGTGCATGTTGATGATGATGTTGAGATAATGTCTAATTCAAATAGTAAATCCACCAAAAAATCCAAGAAATCAATTGCAAAAGAGAAAGACATTCTTGGTGAAGGAATTAAGGAAGCAATTGAGAAGGTGGCTGATGCGATCAAAACTTCTGGTGAGCTTCTAAGCAAGAAAGCTCCAATATCTCCAAGCCAGACGTAGCTTGTACTTTTTTAATGGACCATTTTTTATAGTTTATCAAGATTTTCAATTGTTTATGATAAAAAAAAGATTTTGAATTGTGTTTGTTGTCGTAGATAGTTTTTCAATTGTTATAACTCATGTTTAAAACTATTTAGTTATTTTTAATATTTATGTAAAGGCCATTTAGTATTAAAATACAATACTATTAAAATTTATATTTTTAAAGTAATCAATCTCTTATATAACGACTAATTATATGATTAGAATTGAAATTATTTCACAATTTAAATAATATTGCTTCTTCTACATATATAATCGAATGTTTGAAATTAAATAATGTTGAAATTATTCAACAATTGGTTTGTGTCAATTAGATCTAACATATACGTATATAGTAAAGTAATACTAGATTTTTTATAATGCTGAAAAAAGTACTTCATAATTAGTCAAAGGATTGCTAATGATAAGCTACTTATCGAACAAGGGTAAATTAGGAAATTTATTTTATTAAACCTTCCTCCATTTTCCTCCAACCAAACACAAATGCTTGTTAAAATCCTTCCTTCTCCTTCCTTCCCCTTCCCTCCTTTACTCTCCCCTTCCTTTCCCTCCTTTGAACCAAACAGGGGCTTAGTGACAACTTTCGGAGGATTTTGCTCCCTTTTCTCCGTATTAAATCTCGTTTAATTCTAGTATGATTCTCCCCCGAGCAGCCAACTAGCCAAGCCCAAAATTAAAATTGGCCCAAAATCCATCTCCAAACTCCAAAGCAAGAACGCAGGCCCTCAATGTATAGTAGAATTGCTAAGGGGCAAATCGGCAATCGGACGGTAAGCGATTCCATTTCTCCATCTTCTCGAACTGACGGTGCCGGTATACGGTAACACGTATCACGCTGTGACTGGTCGCTTGTCGGCCATCGGACGGTCAGCGCACGGCGGCTGAGAACTTTTAGCCTCTAGCCGAGTAGCCGAGTGGGCCATTTCTGTCTTCGCCTGTAAGTTTGTTAATGGTTATTTTTTAGTTGTATCACAATTTATAAGCTCTTCGCCATTGAGCTCTTCGCCATAAATTACAGTTTTATTTCCAGAATTCCAGATTCATAATTTTCGTCATTGAGAGTAAATTACAGCCTTATTAGGTTTGTTAATTGTTTCCACTTTCCAAAATTCCAGGTTAATGGTTTAACTGTTTAAATACTATTTCTATAAATTAGTATTTTTGAGGAAGGGCTTTAAGTCTGTAACTCCTTTAAGACTTTAATTACTGTTTTTTAGAAGTCCTTTAATTAATCGTTTTTATTCTTTATACTACCACTCTTTCAGATGTCAGGCTTTGAGGTTTAGACCTTCATATAATTTATGGCTTTATAGGCTTTGAGGTTTAGACCTTCATATAATTTAATTTATGGCTTTATATTCATGTTTACGTCTGATTTGATTCATTTGACTATTTCAGTCAGGCACTGGCAAGTTTTAACATTTATTATAAATATGATTTGTCATTTGTAAGTTCTAATTTGTCATTTGTGAACACCATTTATTGTAGTTTGAATTTGATTGTGATTTGTTATTATTAATCTAATTATTTAGTTAGTTAGTATTTGTGTAGTAAGTTAGTAACTAGTAATCCCACTGTGAACATCTTTGATTTTTCGTTGCAACTTGCAATAGATGTTTTTGTATATCTCAAAATAAATTTTGTTAAATAGACATTATTATATTACATTTTGACATTTTTCTGTTGCAATATACGCTGCTTAATTAAATTTTAGTCCCACCGAATGCCTAAGCTAGATTCGCCCCTGACAGTATGAAAACCACCTGAAAGCGTGTGGAATATTCTTTTTTTCTTTTTGCACTGTACCTTCATATCTTGCTTGAATTGAATAGTTCGTGCAACTTCGTTGATGTTTAGTATGGTAGTGAACATCGCTATGCTAAACTGATTTTGCTTTATACTGTTAAAAGTTGACTATCAGATGGCACTAAGAGGTGCTTGGCAACTTCAGAAGCTGGTAGTAAGCTATTCTGATTGGAGAGGCAGTAGCAGGGGCTTAAGGTTGGTTTAAGTTAAAAATGTGCATTGTTTAGGGTGCTACTCTTCTTTTTTTTTTGCATTGAAGTACTATTTAAACTCTATTTTATTGTGCACTGAACTTTACCTGTCACTTTTGATCCCAATTGAGAAGTTTAATTGCAAGTATTCCAATGTATCAGGGCATTTATGGAGTCTCATTTGCCAGCGTTCAGGGATATCAATCCTCATTTGGAAGTGGTGACTGAGATGAATCGTGGTCAACATCCATACTTGAAGGGATTATACAGTAAGAATTGCCATCCCTAAACCCACCCCTTCATGGCTATCACGTTTCATCTTTTATGTTGGTTTCAAATTGGTATATCAGAAGCAAGACTTAACAAAATGTTATGCCGGTTGAGACATAACTTTAGGGCAATAAGAAATTATTAATACATAACAACAACCTAACAATATCAACATTCAAGCCTTAATCTCAAAAGAGTTGGGGTTGGCTAACATGAATTGACATAGAATCGGAGTTAAAAATAATAAATAGAGAAAAAGGAAGACAAACAAAATCAGATCAATCCTCCTCATGTATAATACTCCCCCCCCCCCCCCCCCCCCCCCCGGTAGTTGTTATGGCATTGCCTATTCATCCTGGCAGTGGAGGAGTGACGCCATGCTCAACCGACTCACCTGAAGCTGCCAAGTTGTAACGCGGCGCTGATTAGGTTTTCACCAACCCGACCTGGCATATTAGGTTTTAGAAGATAAGTAGTATGTAGTATTAAATATCAAGCCATCGGACAGAAACCTAGGCCCTTCAACCCGTCGGCCAGGTTGACATCGTAGGTCACAACTGATCCGCCTCCATCTTCTCTCACCCGTTCCAATTTTTAAGGTCCCCTCTGTTTTTGCTTTATTCCAGTTTTATTTGGCTGGATTTTATCTTTTAATCATTAGCCTATGTAATACATGTTTCTTATGGTATACTTTTTTATGCTGGAATCGATCTAACATATCTTTCAATCCTTTTGATTAAACACTTGGTACACTTGCATTATTTTAGAGACTATTACCTCTTTAGAAACTTATATTGAACATTTGTTCTAGATAAATAATTATAATCAGATATATGTTCGTCTAGTTTCTCCTTTTACTTTGTTTCTTATTTTTATTCTTTTTATTTTATGTAATGTCTAATATATAATTTCATTATATATGTAATATGTAAATATATTACGGAGTATAATCATACTTGTCACGGCGGTAAGTCGATTCGCGGCGCCAACCGACTGCCATATCGCCTAGGCCACAAAGCGCTCGCCTAGGCGACAATTAGGTGACTAGTCACCTATATGTGTATATTATATTATATATTACTCCCTCCGTCCCTTAAAACTTTTCCATCTTTCCTTTTTTGGGACGTCTCAAAAAACTTTGCCACTTTCCCTTTTAATCTATTATTTTGTGGTTTCTGTTATTTCTCTCTCCTCTGCACAGGCTTCAACCACATAGTTTTTACTTTATTAGTCTCCGTGCCGGTCAACTTTGGCAAAGTTTTAAGGGACGGAGGTAGTATATATTTACATATATAATTATATATTTAATTATATATTATGTATAACATATTACTAACTAAAATGTATATAACTTAGTATTGATAAACAAGGTTTATTAATAGGAATTAAGATTAAAAATGTATATCTCAAATAAGCAACGTAAAGATCAAACTAGTAAGTTCTCAAAAATCATCAAGGACTAAATCATCTCTACGACCTTCATTGCACTGATCATCATCATCATGAGTAGGAGTAGGTGGTGTTTGGCCATAGTCAACTTCAACATCTTCATCATCATTTGGAAAACTTTCTTCTTCATTGTTCATGTCTTCATCAATTAACCTTAATGAAGAATTCGAACCACGACGTCGATAATAAACCGGTTCTCCACGAGAGCTACTAGTTCTAGGAAGATTACGACCCTCAAGTGCACCCACGACTTCATCAATGTGACTCCATAGAAGATTATCACCAGGATGAACAACTTCATTGTTGACCATTCATTGTCCCATTGGAAATCTTCAAATATTAAAAGGTTGAAGTTTGTTCCTTCTTCACGCCGCTTCTAAAATCTGGTTGCTATCTTCCGATTACACTGAATAAAAACCAAGTCATTCAACCTCTTATGCTCCAACCTGCTTCTTCTTTTTGTATGAATTTAAAATAAAGATAAAAAATGTATTTGATAAGTGTTTTGATTTAATTAGTTAAAATCTTGTGTAATTTGAAAATTGTAGTTAGTATTCAAAATTGTAAGTCTATTACTTACAAACTCAAAAGTACTCCAATCACGCTCACAGCCAGAAGAGGTACAACAGAGACCAACTATGCATTTTGCGAACGATTGCAGCTCAACAGAGAGTCCACCAAAAGCATCCCACCAATCAACTATAAATTAATCACAAATAAAAGATCAGTTAATTTTTAATATATTTAAATTAATTTAAAATATAATAAAAAGTATCACTTACGAGGACTCTTAGATTTTTGTTGCTTAATCGCAAGATGCTTTGCAAAACTTCCTCTCAATTTCTCATAATTTGTCGCTTGATCACTTATCTTGGCCTGCAATGTTTCATCAGTGACCATCCTTTCAAGCACATCGTTAAACATTGATCGGTTCTTTGATGCTGATGTGGGATCAGTCTGTTTGAGATCAAAATATTTAGACGGATTTTAAAACAAAGCTGCCCCGTATAATTTGACCTCCATCTGGACTTCCCATCTTGTCTCAATAATCCCAACTAGGCTTCTCAAAAGTCTAGGCTTATTTTTAAACGACTCGCTGATTTTTTTTCTTGGCACAATCCATGGCTAGTGAAAGCTCTGGCAAAGCTGGTTTCTCATCAGCATCAACTATCCTCAAGACAATTAAAAGCGGTTGTGAAACACGTATGCAATCTTCCACTGCACTCCAGAATCTGACAGACAACACAATCTCACTCACCTTCATTCCTGCTTCTATGGCAGCCAACTTAGATCTACCCCAAACCAGACCGCTAAATTGATTTCGCAATGCTTCTCTGTGTTTATATAGAGATTGCAAAGTGAGAAACGTTGTTGCAAATCGAGTAACTCCAGGTCTCACAAGATTCTTCCCACCCGTCTTTTGTTTCATTGAATGGAGGATTCTCGTATGCCGATAAATGAAAGTAGTCATACGTCTTGCTTTTCAATGTGGGGTTTGAAATCGGCTAATTTACCGATATCCTCCAACATCAGATCCAATCAATGTGCAGCGCATGGAGTCTAATAAAGCGTGGATATCTTGTGCTCTAGAATCTTTCATGCAACCTTATAGTTAGAGCCGTTGTCTTTCACCACTTGCACTATCTTGTCTTTTCCATCTTCAATTTTTTTCTCAAGCAAACTTGCTAGCAATGTTACATCTTGAGATTCGCCTGATTCATCAACCGATTATAGGAAAAAGTACCTTCTGGACTATTGACAAAGGAAATTAATCAAATGTCGATTCCTTCGGTCAGACCATCCATCAGACATGAGTGTGCACCCATATTCCTTCCAAGCAAGTTCATGTTTTTCTCTGAGCTTATCTGTATTTTTCTTTGCTTTTTCAAGAAGTGGTACACGCAATTCATGATAGCTAGGAGGTTTAAGTCCTGGTCCAAACTGCCCAATTGACTCCACCATGATCTCATAACTCTTGGAGTTTGCTGCATTAAAAGGATTGCCGTTTTCATAAAAAAATCAGCAATGTGCATGAAGACCCTCTCTTTCTCCTTCTTGCTTTTTGTGCATTGTTCTAGTGTAGTTTGGGTGGGGCCTTTCGTATGTCTATCATCAACAAACTCCTCGGGAGTTTTGCGAATGATGGAGGCAATTGACTTGTTTTGTTTGGGCATTTTTGGTGGAACTTTAAAGAATTGTGAAGCAGCATTTTTTCTCTTGGTTGCTGTCCCCAGAACTCGGTTGAGAAGTCGAAGTATCTATTTGAGTCAAAGGTATTTCAGCAGCATCCTCATCGCCGTCATCTTCAATATGGATCGGTTTACTCCTGGACTTCTTCATTAAATATTCTCGCATCTCCCTCATAAGTTCTGTTGTCGTATAAGGACATTTAGCAACATCTCCATATCTGCCAGCTAAATGCTGTTTTAATATCTTTATACCAGAACACATTTGCTTATTACAATACTGACATTGGACTATGTCTTTGTTGTTCAAGTCTGGCCAAAATCCATGAAGCCATCCTAGGTCATTAGATTTTGCTCTTCTAGCAGGATCTATAGATGGATCATACACGGTTTCACCTTCATGGTCCGCCATAACTATTATGTATATAAAATAGTTTAATACTTCCTCTGTCTCTTTTTAGTTGCAACAGTCGACATTTCACGTTTGCCAATGCACAACTTTGACCGTCATTATATTTAATTCTGTATTAGTAAAAATAAAATAACAATCAGATTATAAAACTTAGTAATGAGACGAATTTAACAACATTTTTCAAAAAAAATAATTCACATACATTAATAAATAAAATGTAGTCAAAGTAAAGTACATGAATAGTGTATATATTGCAATGTTGCAATTAATGAGATAGAGAGGATAATACTATGTAATAATGAAAAATTAACATCCAACCAACTGATAAAAAAGTAAACAAAACAGAAAGTTGAACTATGTAAAGTATGTATATCACATATTTGTATACATAATTATATATATAATAACATTTACTAATAGTTTAATAGTTTATGATTTTATAACATATAATAATTAATGGTTTAATAGTTCTTTATTAAACTAATATCAGGCTGCCAGACAACCAGGATATCACCAGTTCAGCACTTGAACATATATTTGTATACTATACAAAAAATCAAAGTATGCAAAACAGCTAAATACGTTATGCTTTTTTAAAAACAAAAATAGGATAAGTTATGTTTCCATCATTTGCAATGGAGCCAAAGATTCATTATTTTTTGGCTTGAGATTATGATGGAATAAAGCAAAATGGCTCACTAAACTGTTTGTGCTTCTTTGTAATGAAGCAGCAGTCAGTCCATGCAATTTTGGACGCGATTTTCACTATGGGTCATCCGGAAACAGTCTCTCTGTGCTTTAGTATAGGGGTAAGACTGCGTACATCCGACCCCCCCTTACCCCACCGTAGGTGGGAGCCTTTGCGGCACTGGGGTAAATGAAAATGATGATGAAATGATGAATGATATGTACTTAATTACTTATGTATATCATAGAACTATTTTCTTGCTTTTTTGTGAAGTATATGATTGAAGGTTATTTTAAAATAGTATATCATACAACAGTGTTTTATATCATAGGATAAAAAACTAATCAAACAAAACTAATCAATACAACATTATTTAATAAAATAAAATATCATAGGATAACAAACTAATCAAACAAAACTAATCAAAAATATCATAGAACTCTTATTTTGAAATAAAAGTATCACATGTTAAAAGTTAAAACTTAAAAAAAAGGTCAAAAGTCAAAACAACAAATTTACAAACACACAACTTAAAATTTAAAATAATAAAAAACTTAAGATAGATCTGGGACCTGAGAATAAGAAAGTTTGAAAGTCGTTGAGGAAGGGCGACACTAAAACACGCAATCTGCAAGACTGCGACTTTGTCTTCTTCGTTGGTCTGCCTCATGCGATTCTGCGATGCTACTTGGGCAATTAGGCATCCGTACGGTAGAGTAGAATACCATGGGCTTTGCTTTTAATTAAATTAGCTTCCTAAAAATGAATTAAATTAGCTTCCTAAAACTAATTAAGGCCTAAATCTATTTTTCTTTTTATCTGGGTCGGGAGTTCTGGCCCAGTTAACTGTAAACAAGTTTAATAAGCATATTAACTATTTTTACTGTAAACAAGTTTATGTTTCAGCATGTGTAAGCATGTAAGAAGTACAAAATGTTTATGTAGAGTACATAATAAGAGTCTACTGTGTTCATGTTTTACATGTGTACATGCTGAAAGATGCTTAAAAATGTGTACTTCACTACTTCTTAAATGTGAAAAAGAGATAGAGAAACATGTTTTACATACTTCTTAAACACATGTTTACAGAACATGTGAGAAGAAAAAAAAACATATTGGTAGTATGTAAAGAAGAAGGAGCCGTTGAAAAAAGAAAAAATAAATAAAATGAAAGATGAAGGAGAAGAAAACTTACTTTGATCGGTGAGTGCTGGGCTGCTGCAAGCTGCGGTTGATGTGGCTGGAAGCTGCGGTTGATGTGGAGGGAAAGGAGGATGTAGCAAGCAGGTACAATAGAGCAGAGCAGGAGCGGAGCAGGAGGATGTTTACGCTATGTGTTTACTGTAGGTTATTAAGTTGTTTTGACCTTATTTAGTTGGGCTTTGTTAAAAACGTGGACTTCTTAATGGTCTTGTTTGACCCCACAAGTGAAAACAACTCCGTAAAACCAGAAATAAAATATCCCCTGTCAGGCACCTTATGCGATCGCTTAATATCGCTTCTGCGCTTCTTGCGCCTTACCCGCGCCTTACAAGGGATGCTGCGACTTGCCATGTTTAGGGCGCTGGTTATCCCTAGCGCTGCGCCTGGTGCGCTTAAGCGCTTAGACGCACGACTTTGACAACCTTGCATAAGCCCAACTCCCTAATAGCAGTAACCTTTATCTTTTATAGTTTATTAGTTTTATTTAAGAGTAATATTTACATCAAGTAATCAAGTTGTCTAGCAGGGAGGTCTTTGATGCATCCTCAAGTAATTTTTTCACACTATGGCATCATTTATCCAAGACTTATCCATTTGAATACTAATACCTAGTTTATAGTACAAACAAAAACTCAAAATAGTATACATAAACTACAAAACATGAAAATTAGCTTATAAATATTGTAATTTGGAGTTCTACGTTTCAGTTTAATGTTATAGAAATTAAATATATATAAAATCCTCAAAAACTGAAGCACACATTTGAATAAACAAAGTAAATCAGTTTTTCCCTCTCCCAAGTCATACCAATATCTATAAATAAACAAAGCAAATCAGTTTGGGATATGTAAAAAAATTATACATTAATCATATTTCCTTATTGAATTAGAGTTGCAATTTGATATAAATGAACTCAAAAATATATTCTAATAGGGTAATAGTGTAATGTTAAAACAACTTGAAACTAAAAACTATAATATTTTGATTACATTTTGTCCATACAACTCACTGATGTTAGGCTTCTCAAGTCTTTGAGGAGTTTTGTCAAACACATTGTATGCAAACAAGAATATTGAGTTACTTCATATATTTTTTTCACAAACTACTTAATATATATCGATCATGAGTTTCATCACACACATTCATAGGTAGAAATACACTCATAAGATGTTTACTAACTAACCAAAACCAGTTTCACATACATCCAAAATGCTAATTAACATAGTGAAATCGCAACATCCATTACCCATTTAAAATATAAAATCAGTATATGAACCCGAGAGAGAAGATCGAGGGAGTAAGGCGGCCGGGCGTAGTGCAGCAACGGAGTACGACGATGGAGTGTTGCGACAGACTCGATCTATCTAACCGTTGAAGAGTGCCATGGACTAAATCGATCGACGATGGAGTATGTGCTCTAGCTCTGGAAGAAGAATCAGCCCGTTGAGAAGGATATTAGCGACGAGTAAGGCAGCTATCGGAAGAAATTAGCTATGGAAATCGATCGGAAGAGCTAGCTAGGGTTAGTTTGTGCGGAAGAATGAACGATGGAATTTTTTGTGGGATAGGATGGGTTACCTAAGCGTTAAATTAGCTAAGTTAAAAAAAATTAAAGCACTCACCTAGCTAGCTACCCGGCCCATTAAGTGTCAGTATTAGGTAGTGATGCTTTTTTGTTAGAAATTAGTGACACTTCTATGTCATTGGTAGTATTCTGTCAGAAAAGTGTCACTACGAAAGTGTCACTGTAAGCCAGTTTTTTACTAGTGGTCATATTTTTTATTCTCAAAATAGGACTAATTACTGCCATGTTTGAAGTCTGGTACTGTCAAAATACGACTGTAATTAGTCCTATTTTGAGAATAAAAATGTGGCAGTCCTATTTTGGAATTTTCAAACTGTTTGTCCTATTTCTGGTACTATTCTCAAGAATTTTTTGTTTCTCCTGGTAACGTGTTTGATCGAAGGGAAGCAAAATTGCTTTATCAATCAAAGATTCAAAAATTGCTGAGAACAAAATTGCTTTATCAATCTCAAGGCATTGGAGGATGATTCAAAAATCAAGAATATGAATTGGTGTGGATATGCATTGGAAACATTAATCGAAGCAAAAGATTATTCGAGCAAAAGCAAAGCAAGACGGTTCTTGGGGCCTTTTGTTTCTGATTGTAAGTTACCAATCATATAATATCATTACTCAATTGTATTGCCTTATTAATCAAATAATTATATTAAATATACATTTCTATAAATAATTATATCAAATATTTTTTTTTATAATTAATACAAAAAACCAAAGAGGAATGCCATCTATTATTGGATGGACAACACAAAAGCTCAACAAAAGAGAGAAGGAAGAAATTGAAAGAGGATGTTTTGGATTTGAATATGTAGATGAACCTAATAAAGAGGAACTAAAAGTTCCAAATTTGATCACAAATGAACAAGGAGTTGGAAGGAAAATTGAGGGACACATCAATCATCAGTCAAAGAAGGTAAGAAGAGCAGTATGTAATTTTAAGAGAGAAATTTTGGTAAATGTATAAATGACAATTAGGATTTCTAGATATGAGTATTTAATACAAAATATCGAGTACTAGTAGGCACTTAAATAAAAAGAGTTTTTTTCCAGAATAATGTTAAATAAAAAAATATTTACGAAATTAGAGTCACGTTAAAACTATTTATCAAAATACTGTTGGGATAAACTAGGGTGGGAGAAAGCCGCCAAATCATTTGGTGACTCTCTCAACAATACGGATGAAGTGCGTACAAGCCGCTGGGAGACTAACATGTATGGGAAAAAGAGGTGGGGCCAATGTAGAAGAAATCCTCTTTTTTCTTTAAATGGCTATAACTTTAATGTTTTTGCTCCAATGTTTTTAAAACATATACCAAATTTTATAACTTTTTGTGATCTTTCATATGACACCAATATATAATTTATAAAGTTAAAAAAAATATGAAGACCATATGGATTGAAAAAACTAATTGCAATAATCCATCATCAATAAACTTAATTCTCAATCAGTTTAAACCAAAATTATGTATGCACCCTGTCAATTCAATTTTTCAATATATTTATTCAATATAGTTTCTAGTTAAATTTTTCAATATATTTACCCAATTTTTAGTGGTAATATTTACCAGTTTAGTAGGTTTGTTTCATTTAAGTTGATTTGTTTGATTTTTATGTCAATTTTAACATACTTTGGTCGATTTCAGTTGAATAAATTTACTCACTTTTAAATTCAAAGGCATAAACTGAACTACCTAGAGTGTTGTAAGTTTTTGATCATTTTTATTCGGTTCGACTTCCGATAGAATGATGTTTAGTATGGACAAATTTATTAATTACCCGATCAAATTTGTGATTAAATAAAATTATAGTATTGAAAGCGGATATAGTGAAAATTTATGAAGTTATATCTTTAATTTTCTCTAAATGTAGATTAAAAGTTATTTAACTATCATTAAATGATAAGGAGGGGGTGAGATCATGTTTTTAGGGCAGGAGTGTGAGTGATGATACATCAAACCTCAAGGGGGTCTACGATAATTTCCCATAAAATAATGATGAGTTTTTAATTTTAACCCTCGGAACTATATTGAATAAATATATTGAAAAATTGAATTGACAGGGTGCATACATAATTTTGGTTTAAACTGATTGAGAATTAAGTTTGTTGATGATGGATTATTGCAATTAGTTTTTTCACCCCATATGGTCTTCATCTTTTTTTTTTAACTTTATATATTACATATTGGTGTCATATGAAAGATCATAAAAAAGATAAAATTTGGTATGTGTTTTAAAAAAATTGGAGCAAAAACATGAAAGTTATAGCCATTTAAAGAAAAAAGAGGATTTCTTCTACATTGGCCCCACCTCTTCTTTCCATACATATACATGTTAGTCTCCCAGCGGCTTGTACGCACTTCATCTGTATTCTTTTGAGAGTCGCCAAATGGTTTGGCGGTTTTCTCCAACCCTAGTTTATCCCATCAGTATTTTGGTAAATAGTTTTAAACCGACCCTAATTTCGTAAATATTTTTTTATTTAGCATTATTCTGGAAAAAACTCAAATAAAAACAAAGATAAAAATGTTATAAAGCCATGGATAAAACTTTTAGTGACTGAATAAACAAATGTAATAAACGTACATGTTTAGTTCATTTTGTAATAAGAGTATAAAATATCTGACATGGAATTATTATAGTCAAAACTTAAAAATAAAATAAAGAATGATCAATTACTGTTCTAACATCACTCATTAAATGACTACATGACATTATGAAGGAATTTGATGCAGCCGCTAAGAATTTGGCAGAAAACATGCCATTTTTGATGAGAAGTTCCAAGAGGCTGCAAAATTGTTGCCAAATGACGAGACGATGAAAGTTTTAATGGGAAAAGTCCACGGGAAGAAAAAGAAAATGAAACTGAAGTATCATTGACTCCGGATGATGAATTCTGGACAGAAGATGTGCTCAAAGCAGTTGAAGCAATTGAAATCACTCAGAAGAAAAGAGTTAAGCTGCCAACTTTTACACGGTATGAAAAGCCAAGCTTTAAGTTGCTTTCACAGGAGTCAAATGAAATGGAGAATATGGATGAGGATTATGTTGAGCATATTAATGAAGTTTGTGAGGATCTAGGCAATGATATTGAGCATGCAGAGGATGGTGGCGGTGAGAAAATGAACGAAGATAATGAGAATGAAGAGGATGTTAATGAGGATGAAGAGGATGATGGAAAGGAAAAAGGTGAAGAAGAGAGATAAAGAAGGTCTCAAAAGGGTAAACAAGTTGCACAAGAGCAAGTTGACTCGTAAGAGAAGAAAGTGGATAGAAAAGAAAGACAAACAGTCCCAACAGTTGCTTTGAAGTCCCAATATATGAACCGAGTCATAGATGCAAAGACAATGCTTGACAGTGAAGAAAGATTAATTGCAGATTTTGTGTTCAACGATCATTGTGATAAGAAGTAAGTACACACCAACTTTTACTTAATCATTTCGTTTAATAAGAATGCACATTTAAGTGAATAAATCGTCGAAATAGTGTCATGTTATTCAAGAATAACAACTTAACTCTTTCCAAAGCTCAGATGGAAACATTGATGAGCAACTCAAAAGTTGATGCATAAGTGATAGATATATGAACAATGATGTTTAACCACAATGAAAAGTTCTAAAGCCATGAAGCTAAAAGCAGACTGCTTTTCTCAACAAAACCATGTGTAAGAAGTACATACATATTTAATTACTATTAAACAAATCAAACTATATGCTAAAATATTTAATTGCAACAAGTGCTAGATCAGTATCATGTGAGCGCTCCACAAACAAGGAACAAACCTTGGGAAATTCCATACCGATAGCCCTCAAGCTTCTCCTGTGTGGCGGCCACCTCAACTTCCAACGACATGATCCGAGATTTATCATGACCAGAAGCAAGCCGACCCAATCCAAGTACTCCGCATAGAAAGGGTGCAGAGGGAATCTGAAACCATGCTTAACAGCGTCGTAGTAAACAACGAAGAACCCTGAGGGACAAGAAGAGGGCAACTCACCTGCGTCCGGCCTCATCATAACAACACTGGGCGCACCCCTGGTTCGACGATTCATCAATGTTGCGGACACGGTAAAACTGTCCACGGTGAAAAACTCAACCAACTCAATGTTGCCCTTGGCATTCTTCTTGACGGGCGCCCTGCGGCCCGGCCGTGCGTTCAAGGGCACAACCTCAAATGCGGAGGTCGTATCGGCGAGGTCATCGTTGAGGCCAGCCCCCCTCATCGCGGCGGCATCATCGTACCCAAAGGCAGATCATTGCTAGCCCTATCTCCGGTGTTAACAGAGGCGCTGTGAGAAGACATTCTCAAAATATGCAGAAAAACACACGCACATGCAGACAGTAAAAATCCGGAGTCAAGGACCAATAATCCGACCTCCAAACAAAAATTAAACAATCGAGTTGGCATCGGTATGCGATTTCGAGTCCGGAGGTACCAACCTCATCAGGAACGGAGGATTGTACACCCCCATTGCCAACAAAGCCAGTTTGACGGAAAAACCCTCATTCCGGGTTTTCCGACCAAACTGCGACAAACGAACAGTAAACAAGCGGAGCCGGAGACTCACCTGGTTAAGAGAGTCAACAGAGAAAACTTAAACTGCGGAAGTACTAGCCAGAAAGGAAAAGCTCTGGATTGCTTGAGAATTCTGAAAGCTCGAACACAAAGAAAGCGCAAAGGAGAAAGACGAAGTCTTTTCGCCTTTTATACCTCCCTTCAAAAATGAACGGGAAGCTTACACGTGGCGCAATACTCTCCGGCCGCCCAAAAACTCAAAGGTTTTTTCCAAAAGGCGTGCAGAAAGCGCAATGATGGCGTCGTACTGTCACTTCAAACGCCATCCCTCGCATTAAATGCTGAGATGCGGCTATTAATTACAAATGTTGCAAAAGGAATGTCTAAAGATTCCTCTTTGTACACATCAGTGTTACTACACGCCACAAATTCTCCTAAGTCCACCAAGCGCTAAATGCAACTGCCTCGTCCCCTCAAGCTCATACTCTTCCGCACTTAGAAAATATTCTAAGTCCACAAGAGTGGGGGACTGGTAAGTGGGGGACCCGGGAACAGAATAAAAAAACAAGACCACAACAAACAAGCTCAGAACAACGTAGCCACCTCGGGCTCAACACAAAACAGGTATACCTTCGAAAAACAAAGCCACACACATACATTAAAATTCTTTACATTCAAAATTTTATCAACTCACGGCCGGGGCCGTGGATGTAGCAACTAACCCATGAAGCAGGTTTGGAACGCGGAATGCGCGGAGCTCAAGCTCGGGCTTCTCTACAGCGGGGCGTCACTTTCCTCTCCGGACTTCATGGCGAAGCGGAGTATACTCTTTTTCCTCCGTTAGGATTTTTTCCCACAGGGTTTTTCCTCAGCGGAGTTTTTAATGAGGTACCCCTTTGTCGTGACCATGGAAGAGTAGCACCCCTGCCGGGCGAACAAGCCCAAGAAAGTGAAGATTTACTCTCTCTCACCTCAAGTTTCACTTTCGCGTCGGAGAGTGGGGGACTCATGATGGAGTATATTCCCGTATACCTCAGGGGTACCACGACCGCCGGTAGAGAGCCTTGCGAGTTCATCAGAGGCAAGAAAATACTAAGTCCACACCTGGATCCGACCCCGACCACCCAGGTCGGGAAACATCAAGCTCAGGAATCAAGTAAACTCAGCAAATAACGGAGTCAACTGACCCTGACCCTGACCCCGAGGTCGGGAAAACATCGAGCTCAGGAATCAACCAAACTCGACGGTTATGAGCCCGACCTCGAGACATTCGAGGTCGGCACCAGGTCTGACCTCGGAAGTCTTACTCCAGGTCAACGTCAATCGAAGCACCAGGCAGTCAAACCACCTCCAAAGCAAGAACAGAAGACAGCAGGACGAGTTCTCTCAATATAGGCCCGAGCTCCCAGATATCGACCTCAATAACCTTAGAGGTCGGAAGAAAAGCACCTTGTACTTAGGCGAAATCCGCAAGGACTTGATTCATGGGGAAACATCGCCACGTCACTCTCCGCACTGATGGAATATACCGGATTACCTGCACACGGCTACACGAAATCCTTGGCAGGAATTCTGTTAGAGGAATAATCAATCAGCCAGCTATCGAAAGCTCTCTCTCCAATCAGCTTTACACGTGGCTGCTCCCGGGTCATTTAGTCTGACAGTTTGTTAGAATAGCTTTACATGTGCCCCTCTCCCGTTAGAACTAGCATCTTTTGCTTGGCCATCAAGTATTTCCCTTTTCTCCTTAGTATAAATACCACCTTCCGGCTTGTGGAAGGAGGGTTGAATACTTAATCTTCTGCACTCTTGAGATTGATACTCTGAGATTTTACTGAATTGAATACCTGACTCTCCCGTCCAGTTCACTCTCTCCTTCCTACTTCCATTCTCGGTGGATTCCGGTCACCCCTCCAGTTCACTCTCTCCTTCCTACTTCCATTCTCGGTGGATTCCGGTCACCCCTGGTCCGACGATCCATCAACGGTTGTTATGAATGCTTGCGTCGGTTTGCTAACAAATATTAGAAGGTAGTTCGGCTTTGAGAGAAGGAAGTTACTGGAAGTTACTTTTTGTTTTTGAATTGTTTCGTTGCAGCTCCCCAAAATTACCCGGTAAAACATTGGCCTTTTCTTATGGACCGGATGTACATACATTTGGGTGTATAATATAGGGACTGGTAGAAAGGGCAATGAATTGGAGATGACGACTTTTGACAAAAGACGGAAGCCTAATCAAAGGGGTTATAACGCACCTCAAAGTTGGTAAGAATCACAAAATTACCGGGTGTACACGTACACACGGATGTACGGTATAAATTGTCGGTTTATAGCTGGTTGATGCATGTATATGTACAGTAATTCATAATCTATTAATTTAAATAACACAAGAGTTATTATTTTTGTAAAACATAGAAACTTCCTAATTTGTCCTTTCAAAAAAAACTTCCTAATTTGTAACGTACTCTTCAAAAAGCAACTTTTCTCAATATCTAACTAAAAAATGGTGCTGAGTTAAAATCTCTTTCTAAATCGTGACTATTTGATCTTAGATTGGGTTTGAGAACGAGTGATTGCTCTTCTCTGAACCTTAATTGTCCAATTCGATTATCGAATAGGGTTCTATGATTGGTCCGTGACCCTTGAATCCCAAAGACGATCTTGGGAGGATCTCACGGTTTCTACATGGTGTGGGCGCAGTCCGGATCGATTCAGCCATTCAGGTAATTGAAAAATATAAGAAACTCCCGATTTCATTTAAAGGGTGGGTTCGGTTCGAGTATACCAAATCTTGAAATAGTTATCGAACCTTACCCGCCCCATTTGAGTAAATTTATCATGAGGATGGTGCGCCCGCTTGTAAAACAACGTAGCATCCCTGTTTTTTTTTTTGTTTTTTTGTTTTTGTTGTTAAAAAATGATGATAATTTTTTTATTTTTGATCCGATTTTTATAAAATTTATATCAACATTTTTTATTTTTCATGATCTTTCAAATGAGACCAATATTGCTTATGTAATGTTAAGAAATTATCGAACTATTATATTAATGAGTATTGGATTATAAGGAAAATCGAATCTGTTTGGGAGATGATAGGTTTGTGAAATAGAAGATTGAATCTATTTGGGAGTGGCTCAGTGGCCTCAGTTACATTTGATAATACATTGAGTTACATCTTTTTATGAACGAGTTACATCTTTTTATAAGCAAGTTACATCTTTTTATAAGCAAGTTACATCTTTTTATAAGCAAGTTACATCTTTTTAAAAGCGAGTTACACATACATAAACACGAGTTGCATTTGACATGCCTGAACGCGACTTACATATATTTACACGTAAAGTTACATATTTTTACACGTAAAGTTACATTATACACGCGAGTTACATATTTATACACACGAGTTGTATTTGACCTGTCTGAACGCGAGTTACATATTTTTTTAAGAATATGCGCAGTTATCTTCAAGAATTCATTTGTATGCTTTCCCGATTGAAGTTTTAGTTCAAATTTGATATGAGTAAACTAGACTTAATGAGTAAGATTCTCAAAATATTTCATCAAAAAATTCCACCGGGAACCGCCCCAAATGGCGTCGGCCGGACATAGCATCCTAAATATGGCCTTATTTAACATTTTTTTCAAGTTTGAGGCTCTATCTGACCTTTATCCCGATAATAAAACAAATATCTCACACTTCATTAAGTAAGAATCTTTGTTTACAAATTACAATAAAATATTTAAAAAAAGTCTGATGCATTTGAAATAGAGAATTAAGAAGAATAATTTAAGAGCTTAAATGGACTTAGAAACTCTTTTTAACACACTAACCAATTTCTTTAATTGAAAGTCTTTGTCTAGACACAAGAACATGAAGATCTTCCATGTGTTGTTAGTACATTATATTAAAATAAAATTTTAAAACGGTTCGGTCTAGGTACCCATTGTTTCAAATTTCAAGACTCGTTCGATTCCAATGTTTTTTAAGGACCCGCCTCGCCCCAGACCGTTTGGGTTTTCTAAACTTAGGATCCGACCCTAACCCGTCCCAAACCTGTATTACCTGGCTCGACCCGCGGTTCCTGTACCCATTTGCGCACCCTAATTTCTACAGGGTGGAGATGATGGGGTTGATTATCCTTCATTTTCTTTTGCATCAATTCACTCAAAGGGTTGAAGTGAGATATTGCATCAAGTTGTTTGCAAGGGCCAACTTGATACTCTTCCCAAGAGATCTCAGATGGGCCGGGGAAACCTTGGGGCTTGGGAGATCTAGCCGCTAACTCCAACTACTGTCCACGTACGATCCATACTAGATCTAGCCAACTTACATATCCTAGCTATTTTTCTCTCTCTACGTTCTTGACCGCCCATATTTGTCTATGATCGGTCGGATCACACGACACATTAAAAATATGATATCCACATTGGATCTCAGATTCTCAGCTGAATAGCTTCATCTATCCCCGTGGGGAAGAGTTTGGTTTTAAACCCGCCCTCTACCCATTTGAACATTTTTGATTAATATTATACTTCTTCCGTTCTTTTTTAATTGCAACAGTACGCTTTTCACGTTTGTTCGTTTGCCAACACACAAGTTTGACCATTAATATCTTTCATACCTTATAAGTAAAAAAATTAAAAAATTCAGATTTTGAAAATTTAGAATGAGAAGAATTTAACAATATTTTTAAAAATTTAATTTATAATATATTAATAAATAAAATACAATCAAAGTAAAATATGTGAATGGGACAAAAAGTCCAATATTATGATTAAAAGAAAACAGTAGTATATTTAACTGTATATTAATGTCGACATTGCATGTATTCAAGAAAATTGTCGCTCAGACGGGTTTCCCATCAATCAAACTTTGTAATTTTTTTTTATGTCAAATAATTTAGTGTGTTGTCCATCGTTAATAAGTTTGCAATATACGTATTGATTTAATTTGTACGTAGTTTTGTACTTACAAGTCACTTCCAATAAATTAGTCAAGGGAAAATTATGGTAATTAAGGGATCAAATTTATAAACAGACACAACAGGTTCAACATGTTTTATACGGAGTAATATTTAATCGACGGCAACCTTAGCACTATCGACGTAATTAACCACTTATTTTAGAATAAAATTTATCCATCCTCTTAATATTAAAAAATAGAGGATGAACTGAACAATTATTTTATTCATAAGCATGAAAAATTACAAAGGTTATAACTATGTTTTAGTCATAGAAATGTACGTAATAGGATATACATGCAGTTTCACTCAGCCATTCACGTATTAACTAATTTACTTTCCTAAAAGCATCTTATCAACTTTTTAACAAATTAATACAGTGTCATGATATAACTTTTGTGATACAATGAATAATAATAATAATTTTTTGTTTGATAGTATTAATCAAATAAGAGTAGATATTCTTGTAAATAGAAATGTTAATTATTCATAAGCGCTTAATGCACACTTTACATGAACACACTATATCAATAAAGTCTTAGAGACTGAAGAAAACAATACAAAGTAATGTATTCAGTCATTTGATGATCAAACATGTGAGTTTATCCATATTTTATACTGCGCATTAAACAAATGCACTAAACTTGCATGACTCATTTGCTAGTTCTCTTTCTTAGGAATTGGGTCTTTCATTCCCGTATGCATCTTATTTATAACGGTTATGATATTTCAGAGTAAAATACAATGTAATGTGTTAAATGTTGTGGTTGATGATCACAATTAGAGAAAAGGGTCAAATAGGCCCTCAAACTAATTTAAAAAATGCAAATCACCCCTTAAGTAGAAGGCGTTGTCCGGCCGTCGCCATTTGGGGCGGTTCCAGATGGAATTTTTTGATAAATTTTTTTGAGCATCTTCTTCATTAAGTCTAGTTTACTCATACCAAATTTTAGCTAAACTTTCAATCAGGAAGACAATCAAATGAATTTTGAAATAATTGCGCAGTTTCCTTCCCGATTGAAAGTTTAGCAGAGCACGTTACCATGATTAACGATCGTTGCACGTTGGCCTGATAAACGACCCTACCATTTATAACGTCTATGCCCCGCGCTCCATATCGAGAATACTTGTACACAACATATGAGTATTGGTGCCACATACATTATGTATTACTAAATGAAATCACAAAATGCAACAATTAACAAACATCAAAAACACCTACGAAATTTGAGCATTTAATTTATGAATATAAGTAGGGATTTTTACCAAAATAAGACAAAATAAGACCAAAAGTGCAAAACTAGGAGTCCCACTTTACCATCCGTCCGCATAGGAGTAAAAAGAAACTGAATTTCCAATTATAACCTCCAGCCATGTATGGGAAAAGGAAACTGCTGTTTCGGTTTTCCATTTGGAAACAGACACGGAAGCCAAGCGCGCTGATATTTGATTTCCAAAGCTCAGAGTTAATAAAATAAGATATGAATACGTAGCCAAATCTCGAGCCTCGCACACAAGTTGTCCGAACGACGAAGTGGAAGAAAGAGAACGTCGAGCTCTAGTTGAAGTTGAAGGAAGAGCTTTGGTTGAAGTTGAATGAAGATGGAAGACTCTGATTTCCAAAGTGAAACTCAAGATTCTGATTTCGAATCAGACATGCGAAGTTTACTACACATCAGAATTAATTCGAAAACGGTATGTATAAGAAAAAAACTGCGGCATTCATATATTCCTCTACTTCTAAATTCATATATAATCGATGATTGTTATTTTGTTTAATCAGATTGACATATGACATGCACTTGGAATATGTATGCATAATCATAGAAATTTCAGATCAAAATGTATGAAATTCATATAATGCGACTTCATTGAATTTTATACAAAAATTCGAATGCCAAATATCAGTATAGGTTTTGTTAGGTTAGTGATGATATGATAGTGTCCAAGTGATATGTATTTGATATGATGTCACCATAAAACGACATTTCATTGAACTTTATGTAGTCATATGAATGACATATATCAATATATCGTATGAATTAGTAAATGTTGATATTAGAATGTGAAAGAGACATGTACATGGCAAATTCATGTGAATCTAATTTGATTTGGTGTATAAATGTAGGCAACACAATTGAAGTGGTAGAAAAATGCCACTCATTAATTAGATGAACGTATATGTCATATATCAGTGTGTTTTGCTTACAGTTTTTTTTTTGTTAGAGCTAAATGTGATAGTTGTTGTGTGTATTGAGTGCTGATATTAGAATGTGAAAGAGACATGTACATGGCAAATTCATGGGAATTTAATTATATTTGGTGTGTAAAATGTACACAACAAAATTGGAGTGATATAGCAGAATGACACTTAAATGGATTAGAAGAACGTATATGAATATCATATGTCAATGTATTATGCATATAGTTTTTTGGAGCTAAATGTGATAGTTGTTGTGTGTATTGAATGCTGATACTAGAATGCGAAAGAGACATGTACATGGCAAATTCATATGAATTTAATTTGATTTGGTGTGTAAAATGTACACAACACATTTGAAGTGATAGCAGAATGACACTTAAATGGATTATATCAAGGTATATAAATGTCATGTGTCAATGTATAAGGCATATAGTTTTTGTTTGGTTGGAGAAAAATAGTGAAGTATGAAATGAAATAGTTATTTTTTGTAGACAATGCAGATTATAAAAATATCAAAGTTCCATGTGAATGAGATATTCATATATGATATCAACATAAAATTCCATTTGGTTTGATTATATGAATTCTTAGGATTACAATATATGACTACAGAAGAATATATAAATAATTGCACAAGAATGAGAACATATGAATTTCATATTAGAAAGCCTTTTGGATGGTATGTTTTTTGTAATTTTTCAAAAAGTAACAAATTGACACATTAATGTCATTCTGTAGTACTTTTTGACAAGTTTTTCACAATTATATACTAATGAGAAATTAACAGACAATGACAAGGTACTTCAAGAGGAACATGTTGTATAAGCTTGATGACATGCGTGTCAATTCCTTCTGCAATCTTCACAAAATTATGGAAAGGATAAGGCAAATTTTAACGAATGATGAATTGGATGACTTTAGAACAACTGCCTTTGGATGGTTGGTTGACTTTGAGAATATGAGTTATGTTAGTGGACAATTATAGCTTGCCTTTGTAGCTAACTATGTCAGGTATGTAAATGGTTTTGTTAACAAGAAGGCAATGAGGTTTCATATACAGAAAAGTGTAGTAAGTTTCACAAAAAAAGATCTTGCAATAGTCACTGGTTTGAAATTGAGCAGGGTGAAGCCTGTTATGTCAGAAGAGCCAACAGGAGATATATGGACAAGATATCTTGGAGGAAAGAGAACAGTGACAAGAAATGATATTCTACTGGTGCTAAACAAATACAAAAGCACTAATCAAGGAGCAAGGATGTATGATGGTGTCAAGCTAGCACTTCTGTATGTGCTTTCACATGGATTCTTAGGAAATCAAATAGCTAGGCCAATGGAAGCATATTACTTGAATCTGGTTGACAGTTTAGAGGACTTTAAAGCTTACCCATGGGGAGATGTGATTTGGGATGAGTTGCGTAGTTATATGAAACAAAGCTGTGAGGCATTGGAAAACTGCACAGGCACAAGAGTTACATTCCCCGGGTGCATGATTGCACTACAAGTGTGGGAATTTGAAACATTTCTAAGTTTGTTAAAGGCGGGTTTATGCAAAGTGATAGAAGGAAGAGAAGATATCATGTCAAGGACACTAAAGTGGAAATTCCATAAGAAACCTTCATTGGAAGTTTTTTGTGACCTAATATTCTATAATGACAAGGTAAACAAAATTATGATATGTAATTACTAAATTTAATATGAAAATACACGTCTTACTAACATGTTTGTTTGTCAGTTTGAATGGGCAGAAATTGTTCCAAAGGAGCAAGAGCTTGCACTGATCCAAGAAGCCAACACAGGAGATGTAGACAATTTACAAAATGGGAGCATATGTGCTGGTAGAGTGGAGACTGAGGAACTGCACAAAGTAAAGTTTGAAATCGTGTTCCAAAGCTACAAAAGCCAGTAAAAAAGAGGGGGGAAACAGCCAAAAGCAGGAAAAAACAGTGGGAAATGGGAAAAAAAATAAAAAAGTTGTTGAGCAAGGAACTTCTAAAGTCAGAAAGAAATTTGAAAAAGATAAAGATTCTGAGAAAGATAGTGATTATAAGGAAGAGGAAGGCGAAACTGAAAATGAGGATGACAGTGATGATGAAATAGTAGGTAATAAAATGAAGAGAACACTAAGGAAGCAAGATCAAGAACTATCAAACTAATCAAGGATGTGAAAGACATCAAGAGAGTTCAGAACAAGCAAGGGGTGGTTCTAGGTAGAATTCTTCGCATTCTGAAAAATCTGTCACTTTATGAAATGAGTAAGCAAGAAGGGCGAGGAATGGCAATAGAAGTTGAAAATGTGGACAAAGATGACAATATACAAGAGAGAAATCAGAGAGATAAGGAGAAGCAGGATGAAAATAGTAAAGATGAAAAGACAAAGACTGAAAACAAGAATGCAAGCGAGGAGATGAATGCAGGGGATGATACTGAGGAGATAGAGAGTGAAATGCCAAATTTTAACATATTTGGATTTGAATCTCAAACAGAAGCTCAGGAAGCAAAAACAGAAAACCAGGAGGGAGAAAAGGATTTAGAAGAGAAGACAGAAGAAGAGAATAGAGGAGATAATTAAAATAAGCCCATTACTGAGGTAGAAGAGCAGACATAAGAAGAGAATAGAGAAGAATAGGAAAAAAAGGACACCACTGAGATAGAAGAGCAGAGAAGAGTAGTGAACGATGAGAAGCAAATGCCAAATGATGCTATAAGCACTGAAATGTGGGGAATGGGGTCTCAAGAAAATTCACAATTTGTGAGAGAGTTGTGCAACAGTGTGGACAGAAATGAAAAAGAGGCATTTCGGGAAAGCATCAACAAATAAAGTCACGAAAAACATTCATACTGTACAAAATACTATTTCTTAATTTAAATATGAAAATTTATTGCCATAGATGTATAATAACCTCTCCAAATTTCATAGGTGAGGGAGAAGAGAGTTGCTAAATCACCAGCACGGTACGGTACACACCTGCAGGACAAAGCAGGGAAGCTAAGAGGAGAAAGAAAGAAAAGGCAAGGAGAAGAACGGAGGAGGAATTTTTACCACCAACAAAAAAGTATATGGCCCATTCTCTGAAGATCCAACTGACACACCACCTGCAAATGAAGTGCAAAGAGTTGGTAACTTTTTAAGCATTGGACTTCTGAAACAGAGAAAGAAGGGTAATGAAGAAAGAAGATACAAGAAGGATGAGGACAGGATGCACGGCATTCCGATGTTGTTGGATACAATAAAAATTGAATCCAAAACATGGATATACAACCTCTATGTCAGCGAGCGGTGGCTACATGACACAGTATGACTGCATATGCATTTAATTTGTAGTAGAAACTAGAATGCCAAATATGTAGCTAAGAGAATGACAAATATATAGCCAATAGAATGACAAATATATAAATACTAAAATGCCAAAATTTATAGTTGGTAGAAACATATATGACTTATACCAAGATCAGGTCAATTTAATGATACAATGACAGAAAGTTAAAATAATAGGATTCTTTGAAAAATAAGTTCATCTTGGTTCCAGTTGAGTTTACTATGTGTATATATGTATATAAATATGAAAAACATTCTTATTGATGGATATTGTATTATATTATATGGCATATCGAAGTAGGGATGTACTACTTGACTGTAAAAAGACTTGAATACAACCTGAAACAACAGTATGCCACAAACAGAGGTTTTTTTATACAAATACTAAGGCTTGAGCATGAAAAAATTCTCAATGGACAAGGAAATGTTAAGCAAGCTGCTGATGATGATGAGATTATGCATAGCATGTTAGGAAGGCATCAAAGTTTTCAGTGCACTGGTGCAATTACCAATTTGTATACTTACCTATGAACACTGGTCAGCATTGGGTATTATTCGTGTTGGACATCAAAATGAGAAAGGTTAAAGTTTACAACTCCAATTCACGAAGGGGGAAATTCACTGAAAGATATCCGCCCATTCATGCCGAGCATCAAAATTCTGCTTCCTAAAATCATGGATTTCTTCAAAGTGTATGAAAATGCAGGGGAGGAGCCAATGGGAGACAGACCATTAGAAATAGAAGCTGAAGAAAGCTGCCCACAACAGAACAATGCGTAAGAAAATAAATTTATAGTTACAAAAATCATAAAGAAGTGAAATGAAAAATAATCTGTGATTAACTATAATTTTCTATTTGCTTACAGGGGGACTGTGGAATGTTTGTACTCAAGGTTGCTGAATTCTTAATCATAGAAATGGAGCTGGATGGGATAGATGTTGAGGAAATGCCAATGTTTAGGCAAAAAAATGGCAACGGAGCTAGTTATGTACAGTGAAAAGAGATTGGGTGATGCTAAAGGAGAGCAGCTGCCAAAGTTTATCAGGGAATAACGATATGATGACAAGATGTGTTTTTACATATGTATGCAGACATTTGTGATTCAGGATACTACTGGTCTCTATGTTGTATTGTTTGTTTGCGTGAAGTTAGTTTGATACAATATGTAATATGGGTAAACTTGGGTTGATGTGACTGCTTTTTTTGTTGGATAATATTGATGAAATGTGGTTGTGTTTTCAATCTGAATTGAATGAGAAAGTTTGTTTGCTTAAATATATGTGGTCTGAACAATCACAGAAAGTGGCATTACACACACACACACACACATATATTAGTTATTTGGAAATCAAATGTACTACCCTCGTTCTTAAATAAATACAACACTTTGACTTTTACACTATTCACATGTTCTACTTTGACTACGTTTTATTTATTAATGTAATAATATTATTTTATGAAAAAAATATTGTTAAACTTGTCTCATTGTAAATTTTCATAATCTAATTTTTTTAATTTTTTTACTAATAGAAAATCATTTATATTAATGGTCAAAGTTGTGTCTCGGCAAGTGTGAAATGTTGACCATTGCATTTATTTAAGAACGGAGGAAGTATATTTTTTTGGAAAACATTAGTGTGATTATTGATAAAAATACGACATATTATAGTGAAACTGAAATGGTGGAGAATAAAAATATATATTAATTGGGAATCATATTATTTAAAAATATGACATTACATAGAATGAACTGACATTATATGTATCAGTTGTTTAGCAAAAAAATGTCTAAATCTGTTGGAAATCATATTTTGTGTTGGATAATTTGATAAAATATGCTTGTGTTTTCAATTTGAATAAGATGAGAAAGTTTCTTTGCTTAAATATACGTGGTTTGAACCATCACAGAACATGGCATTACACACAATAAAATGCCATATATATACTAGCTATTTGGGAAAAAAATGTATAGTTCTATGGTGAAAATGTATATTTTTTAGAAAAGAACACATTAGTGGAATTATTGATAAGAAACTGGAATTGTAAATATTATCATTATATGACTGTGAAATGATAGAGAATAAAACCATATATTAATTGGGAATCAGATTATATAAAAAAAATGACATTACATACAATGACCCGACATTACATGTATTAGTTGTTTGGGAAACAAGTGTGTAATTCTATTATACTTGAACCGAACAATACAATAATAAAATTGAAAGAACAAAGATGTATAAAAAAGTAATAACATCATTTTAATGCAAAGCAAAAGCAAGTGTTCAATGATAAGCATTGTATACTAAAAGTTATTATTAACTCTAAGAAAACAAAAGCATGTATCTTGTCCAAAGCTTGGAAAAACAAATGTAAAACTATTAATTCTTATCAATTGGAATAGCATTAGAACAGCTCTTCTTATTATGGCCAACAGAATTGCAACGTGAACACTTCCGATGCTTTGAACCCCGATATTCTCCTATTGATGGAATTCTGGATTTTTTTGGACGCCCGGGTGGCCGCTTCAAACAACTAGGAGGCTTGCAACGAACACTTGAAATATTAGAAGGAATAACCCAATCTGCAAAATCACCAATAGGATGCATTATACCGCTCCATGTTGCCAACAAATTCGCTTGTGTGTAATAAGGGGATATATAAGTGTAACATGATAAACCACGACATGAACCAATTGCAGCAACAACATGCACGCAAACAAAATGATCCAACTGAAACTGGCCACAAGGGCAAATTCTGGTGTTGAGATTCACAACAAAGCATCTACACTTCCTATCAATAACTTCAAACTCGTACTCACAAGATGGCTTGACCTAAAACAAAGAGGAAAGACAATAAGTGAAAAAAATACAATAAATGAAGCTTGCTATTTCATAAGAACAAACAGAAGAGTCAATAGGATATGTAGCAAGAAAAAAGGAATGGCAATCTGTATACGTAAATGGAAATCTAAAACTGAAATGCCAAAAAAAGCAGTGCATGCCAGAAACTAATATAGTATACTATCTTAAAATAAAAAAGCATAATAGATAAAATGATATTAAATACCTTCATACACCTTGACTCTAACTGTAATGCAACAAGAAGTTTTTCATATTTATCAGACAATATGGTATGTGTAGATTCTGCTTTTTCTCTTCGTTCAATAAACCATTGTTGCATTCTTTCATGCAAGAAATCAACAAGTTTGGACACACAATATTCTCTTGCGCAAACGTTAAGACTGTTTAATGATTTTGCACGATTGGAGTTCATGACATTAAATCTCCTTGCACCAGTCAAACACTTTGCCCATTTCTCACCACCAAATTTATCAAGCCATGCACGTATTCTAACATCTTAAGTATCTAGCAATGATAAATACTGTTCATACTCCTTCATAGTTGATGCCATATACGCAGCTCTAAATTTCCAACCCAAACCATTTGAGGCACCTCTAAATTTTGAAGTCATGTTGCGACGTAGGTGCTCAACACAAAACCCATGAACAGCATGTGGAAAGACTTTACGAGCAGCACTAAGAATACCTTTATGCCTATCAGATACGATATACATATCATGACGGTATTGAATACACGCACAGACCTTAGATAAGAACCAGTGCCATGATGCTTTACTTTCTGAGTCACAAATAGCAAATGCAATAGGAACGATTTGATTGTTTGCATCTTGAGCACAAGCTGTCAACAATGCTCCTTTATAATAAGCTTTCATGAATGACCCATCTATAATAAGAACGGGTCTGCAATACTGCCACACATTTATCCAACAAGCCAAGGAAATGAAGAAATATTGAAAAGCATCATCATCACCTATAGTAAGAGTAATCTTAGAACCTGGATTAGTCTTATCAAGCATGTATCCAATTGAAGACAAAAGTTGGTAGGAATCAGAATCAGAACCAAATTGCATTTCCATTGCTTGTTTGCGAGCTTTCCATGACTTCTTATATGACATGGAAATTCCATATTCCATGCTCATATCAGTACTGATTTGTTTGGGTGTGTATGGGATTGTAGAAGCGTCCAAAAACTTATGAGCAACTAATTTTGCAATGACACAAGATGTTGCTTGTCTATGCTTTCCTTGTCTGAAATCAATAGAACAAACATGTACATGATTAAACCTGCAAAGGAAGAAAGGAGAAAAGCATTAATGAAACAAAAAAATAATATGGCATTCTGACAATGTAAAATACAAATAAAATGACATCTTAATGACAATACAGACATGTTAATTCCGCAAATAAATATGGAAAATAAAGTAAAATGACATGTTATTTATGGAAGTAGTAATAATGAAGTACTAAAGATCAACATAATAAACGTAATAATGCAAAAGAAAGGAGACCAAATAAAGAAGGTAACTGATAAGTGAAATAAAAGAGAGAAAAACAGTAAGGAATATAATAAATCACCTGCGGATCTGAAACATTTCAACGCCATGTAATTTGACAGCACGAACAACCCATTTACATCTAACGTCCACATAAATTACATGTAAACAGATTTTCCTTGAGGTTAGGGTTCTGTATTGAAAACCATTAGTAATGGCATACATCTTCAATTGGTATGACATGTCACTCTTATTGTTGTATATAGCATGAAGTACAATAGAAGTTGGATGATTATGAGTGATAATTTCTGAATTGTGGAAGTTATACTGAGGTTGAGGTGATACTGGAAGAGAGTCATCTGAGAAGGAATCACTGTCTTCTAAAACTAAGGTGCTTGCAGTACTCATGGGTGCTATTATATCACTGTCTGATGTGCCAGAAATATGATGTGATGTGTACGAAACAGGATGTTCACGATCACCGAAATTTAAGTCACCATTGTTAAGAGTTTGAATGCCATGAGAGTTATCAATAGAAGAACAATTACCAGAAAATGGTGACTGATGACATGCGTTAGGTGATGGAAAAGGGAAGAACTCTACACATAAAGGATATTTCTGAAAATCAGGTTGTAAAGACTTCAGGTAAAGGTAAAATCTGAAAGTGGAATCATCATTAACAATAACAGGAGGTGGACAACTTTCAACCAAGTAGGAGAGTCTGAAATGATGGTCCGGTTTATACTGAACAATGATGGGAGTAAACATTTCAATAAACGATGAATATGTTGCATGATAACAAACAGGAATAGCACAAATTTCTGTATGAGTGAACATAAAGGCAGAATCCCAACTACCATTCAACTTGAGCATAAGAAGTATCTGTGCATCCATTGAATTGAAAATGTATGTACAAAAAATAGAAAAAATATCAGTTTGATAGACATGGTAGTAATATGAATGTCAGAAAACTTCAAAACGAATAAGGACAAATGTGACAGAAAAACAAAAGAAAGGAAAAACCACATGAATTCCAAAACGTTAGAAATCAATAATGGATGTAATTGAAAAGGAAAACATCATTTTGATTGACAATTGTGTATGAAGATGACAGTAACAACAAAATATAATACAATATCTTGATCTTTCTGTCATTGTATCATTAAATTGACATCATCTTAGTATAAGTCATCTATGTTTCCGCTAAAATCAGGACAACAAAATAGAATACGCAATGCTTAGAAGATAAATATGAATCACAGTACAAAAAATAAAGTAAAAGCTAATTATAGCGAACAACAACACAAGAAGAATTAGTACGTACAAAGTTCAACAGATACAATGTTCAACAGAGAATTAGTACGTACAAAGTTCAACAGATAGGTAAAAGAGAATAGTGTATCAAATTCAATGAAAAATCAAACAAAAATGCAAATTAACAATTCAAAAACAATAAGCAGAATGTAGTCTATGAAAGAACAAATTTCGACATGTGAAGATGAACGTAAAACAATAAACACTCCGATTTAAGAAATTAATACCTGCAAAACAGTTGAAGACCTTTACGAAGAAGAGCAAGATGAACTTTCTCTTGTGTGGCTTTAATTCAGAAAACACCGAAAGCTTGCGGAAAACTTAGAAGAAATCAGCTACCGAAGAAATTCACGAAGAAGATTAAGATTAATTTTCATAGCATGTGGTTTCGATTCACGAAACAATTACGAATGGCGGAAAGCTTCGAAGACAAAGCGGAATACATAGACGATTATAACGAACAAAATGGCTACGAGTTGACGGCGGAAGTGGGAGGATACTAAATATTAATTAGGGGTAATAAAGACAATTGACATGCATACGGGAATATGAATAGGAGA